GACAGTTTTAAAATCACACAACTTTGATTCTGTGGCTTTTGAATTTTAACAGATATGTTGCTTCAGATATCTTAAGACTGGTTTACACAGTCAATGTGATAATTTTATGCATCTTTTGGTTCATATTCACATGTATGACATCCGACATATGATGTTGTTTGAAGTTGGCTGCAAAAGATGTGAAGTGATGGTGCCGCAGTTGGCAAATACTCCTTTACCACCCCCCATCCACAATCAGGTAGTGCGCTTTCTGACCCTATCAGGTAAAAGTGTGGGAGTGCACACGTCAGCGTATTGGACACGTGAAGGCCACAGCAAGTAGACCAACCACGCGCGTAGTGTGGCCGTGTGCGCGAAATTCGGTCCACGTATGGCGTTTTACTGTAAACTGGGCTAACTTGGGTACGCGTAGACACCTTCGTCAAATTCCTCTTTTGATTCCTTGTAAATTTATACACCTAGAAGCTTGTGCTTGTGTTTCCGCTGCAGAATTCACTCCGCACAGACCAGACATGGAGATAAGAAGAAGTCTTGAGGCAAATTTTCTTACCTGCCGTGTCTGCAACAAGTCATTCACTAATCCCAAAGTGCTATCATGCATGCACACATTTTGTAAACCTTGTTTGGAGCAGGTTTTCCAGCAGGAGACGCTGGAAGCAGCAAGGAAACGCCGGGACTTGGAACAACAGCTTAGATCATCTGGCTACTCGTCCACTTCGTCCGGCTCTCAGTATAAGGGGCGTTGGACACGAGCTTTTAAGGCCAATGAACATCAGTATAATGTGTCGCGTTATTCAGATGACACCATACAATGTCCTGTGTGTTCTAAGAAGACTACTTTACCAATGTCAGGGATACATGGTCTACCAGATGATCAGATGGCTGGAAAACTTGCCGGCATTGTTGGGAAAATCCCAAATTACCCGGTTTGTGATGTCTGTTCCTCGGGTAATCCTGCCATTTACCCTGAAATTTCCCTCGGCGATGAGGCTCATTGTTACCAAAAAATGCCCAACGATCGACCTTGGACAGACGCAGAGGATGGTGATACCACAAGTGATCTTCAATCCACAGATGATGAAGACGCTCATTGTCATAATGGTGGGCGACAACAGCGAACAAGTGTGGGGAGTCGTCCCCGCACCACTCGTCGATACAACCGTAGCGGGCAGAAAAAGATGACACTGAACGCCTCAGACGACGAACTCTTCTCACTCTCGTTGGGTTTGAAACCGGCTCATCCAAACGAGGCTGTTGCTGCTTGTCTTGAGTGCGCGAAGCGTCTATGTGACTACTGCCTTCAAAATCACGCAAAACTGGCAGTCATAGCAAGTCATGTGATTATCAAGTTGGATCAACTCGCCAAACTGTCATGTCCCCGCCATCCAAGGGAAACAAAGCGGTTTTTCTGCCTTACATGTGGTGAGCTAGTGTGCCTTGTATGTACTTTCGAATCAAGTATTTCAGATTTAAATTCAGGGCTCGGAAATGACGATTCCTTTCAAGCCACAGGCCATGCTGATCACGATGTGTTATCCATCCGTCAAGGTCTCACAAGTCTCGAACAAAGCGTAAATAAATCCATTTTTGACTGTAAGCAGAAGGCCGAGCGCTTGGAGCTTATTCTATTAGGTTTAAGGTCTTGTGCGTCTAATGTGCTCTCACTTAGGTGTGCGATCAACACAGCAGCTGATAGTCTAATCAAAAGTATCACGGAACAAAAAGAGACTTTGCTGCAGGAACTGGACAGAGACGTAGGGGTCCCGACGGACCAGCTGACATCACAGTGTGAGGCTATCGCTGCTTCTCTTGCTAGATGGGATGAGTTAAAGACAGAAAATGATGTTATGGAAACCCTATATAATCTGCATCCTGTAGCGGCTCTGGCGGAGGCAAGTTTGATACGCGACCGCTACCATGGTTTGCTGAAAGTCCTTTGTGACTCTCTCCCTCGTCATGATAATTGGCCCAAACTAATCAAGGAGATCGACACTTTGGAGCATAATTTTGCTCAACAGACTATTTTTAATTCTTATGATGATATCGGTGGTAGTGAGACTGGTAATGAGACAGATAGTTCGACTGCCACGAGTAACAGCCTCCAAAAAACATCTAAGCGAGTGCGCTTTGCTCCTCCTGCCGAGGCCGTGGGCATGATACCCCCCTCCTACAATGCCCACTGGACTCGTCGGCTAGGCAAATTTATCCCTGGTGAAGGGGTAAATTTGGGGAGGCGAGCCACACCAGGTCAGTTAGCAGCAGAGGCTTTCGCAAAACGTGAGAAACTCGCTTGCAAGGCGGTTCAGGCAAGTCCAACTGATATAAATGGCCGCCCTCTGCCTGCAGAACGTGATGCCAGGCGCCACCGAGCCATTCAAGTTGACCTACGACCCACCAACCAAAATGAGACCAGCATCCAGACAGAGCCTTGCACGGTCTCCGCCGTTAATCGTGTAAAAATGGATTCAGGAACTCAGTACCAAAGTTCAGATATCAACACTCCTTTATCTTTTTTCCGAAGCTCCAAACAGATTACCGTTCAGAAATGAGGTGGCGATTAACAATCGATCACCGTTGCAGGAAAACAGATTTATGTCTGGTCTTTGTGACTTCCATCCCTATGAGCCTACTTACTTTTGACAGTCCAGGGATAATCCCGACCCACTTCACAGCGCATCAGAAATCACTGTGATTATCTCTCTATTGTTCTGCCTTGTGTGTTTTGATGTGCTGAAGAAGCATGGTTTAACCCAAGTCCTCATTCTGCCACACTTTTTGTTGGCCTATGCATCAACTAAAAATTATGTGAGCAAAGTTGCAAATAATAAATTTTCCATCGATTGCGTGGCCAAAGTAATGTAACTGTGCAAGTGCTTAAAATAACAAAGGTTGTTTTATTATACACGTGATCCGCAGTCACTTAATATTTTATTGAGTGATTAGATAACTTAGGCGAAATCGGAGAGATTTCTGAGTAGATATTGAGTGATAAAAAGCAATATCCTGTTTTGTACTTTATTTTGCATGAACTGCACAAAAGTATGAGATGGAGGACCTGCTCAGACGTGCAAGTCTTGCTGCGAATCCATTCTAGAGAGAATTCAAAAGTAACCTCGATTCAAACTGAATGATCAAATTTTCTCATAGCTAATTTCTAGGATAAATTGTTACCATTCTCTTCATTAGGATTTGACAACTTCCAACGCCTCAATTGTTAACATAACTTGTTTTTATGCATGAACAAGCAGCACAACTAACCAACGTACTAGTCACTACTGCTCTTTATTTATAGTCACATTAGCCTTAGCAGAATCACTGCGAGGTTATTTATCATGACCCCAAAAATTGAACAGATATTTTGAAACCCAGTGACGTATTTCACCGCGGTCGTGGTCAATTTATCTTCGATTAAGTGTCACTAGGTTGCTACGGGGTGGAAATTGAGTTGAGGGAATGAGAAATGCGCATGAGAATGCAATGAGGCGATGTCACACGTCCCATAACAAAGCCTTCATTTAGCCGACAGGGATTTTCAAATGAGTCGGGGTAGCGTTTTCATCGAACGGTATCACTCAGTTCCCTCCAAGTGCTTTCAGTGAACTACAGAAAACTAACCAGCTCACAGAACAACTTTCCCGTCTATGGTCACGGTCGCCGCCTCCACCTGCTTGACACGAAAGTAACTCGTGTAAGGGAAAGGGATAACTGCTGGTGAGCCTTTACTAAGAAAGCACAACCTAGGAATAAAACGTCCATTTTCTCCGGCCACGGCAAGGTACTAAGTGCTCTTTCAGTTTTTTATATGTGTTTCTGTAGCTTTATCTAAGAAGCCAAAGCTATGCCTTATTATGTGAGAGAACAACAAAAAACCGGTAGAGGGACTAAATGGCTTTCCGCGGCAACGTAAAGGGGTCGTGTTTGTCTGCACTGTGTTGTGAGCATTAGTTCTGCTCTCGTGCTTAGCATTGTGTCTTCATGGTTTCACGGTAAAAGAGCACAGCAGAATGCAGTACCCCAGGTAGGAGTGGAAGTTTATATGGCCTCAGGTCATTGATATTTTTCAGATGGTCTTGACCCATAACCATCATAAATAACAATGTACTGGTAGAAAGGCATTTCCTGTTCCTGGACTTGATTTACAACTCCTGCCAAATAAAACGTGTCGATGACTGGATAGACAATTAACATCTTCACTTGGCCGACTAACAAATTAACAGAACACGCGGAAAAGCCTAGCCTTACATGAACGTAGCAACACTGACTGTTAACGTTTTTAATCGAATTAGTGTCAACACCAAAAACTGATTTTTTTAGATTTACAGACGATGGTGTTAAATATTATTTAAAATTATTTAGTATCATTCAGAAGGATAATCCAATGCTGATTTATCACGAGTCAGAATGATGAGTCCTCACACCCGCGTTTTGTGTTTTACACTTGATAAAGTAGCCTTAAATATGCATGACAATGTTAGCTTTGCTGCAACACATGCACAACTGGCGGTAAGATATCAAAAAAGACCCTCGTTTATAAACACTTCGAGAAAAATCGAGGCAAAGTCAGAAGTGGATAATTCATTAACTACTTACATCACAGTATTGTCAGAGATCGAAAACGATGGTTTCAAAATTGCCTACTCCGCAAATCTCCAATATATAAAGTAAAGCATCCTTAAGGCTAAATTAATTGTCTTAGTGAAAATCTAAAAATCTAAAACAAAAACTGACACCTAGAAGCTTGCTATTTCCTACTTAAACATTAAATGTGATGATAAAACTTAGGACTTAAAAGCAATGAAAACTGCTATTTTTGGAAATTTTCAATTGCGCACTAAATTTGGCAATTAGCATTACAATCTTTTGGTAGCACCATGGCCTTGACTTAACCTAAAGACATTGGCAGTAAATGCAGCTGTAAATGAGTTGCAGCAAACACAGATAACAGAACTGGATGTGACTTTTCCTCAACGTGACTCCAAATCAGTGTTTATGTTGTTGCGTTGAGGTATATAGTTGAAGTTAAAATGACCGTCGACGCATCCCTTCTGGAGTAGATAAGATTGGGATTTTCGGAAAGACCTCTGTTGAGCTAGTGGCTTATAGGAACAGTCACAGCACTCTACGAGTACGGCAAAGCAATCGCGGAATCGCACACACAACTGTCGCTACATCATTCTCCCTGGCAAATTGAAGGGTCACAACAACTGCCGACTTCGTTGAGATCGGCATCAGTCGATAACTCCCGAGGGGCAGGTGCCACAGGCGCTTGTAGTTTCAACGCTGTCAACGCCGCCTGTCAGTTGTCGCTGGGATGGGGGACCTGAAAATCTGGGGAAACAGCCGCACTCTCCACGATGTCAACTTACAGGATTTCTGGATATTTAGTAAAGCGTCATGGGGTATATTGCGTCAGAATTACTTTCATCCTAGGCTTTAAATCCTAGCTCATTGGATTGGCACCAATTTTGGTGTGTGCTTGCTTCATTGGTCACACGCTTTGGTCTTGGAACTACTTTGTGTGTGTGTGTGTGCTTGTTTTGATTAGTAATTTGGAAAATGGCAATAGTTGTTGTTTCTTTTTGGTGGTGCAAGTTGGCTAGTGGTGAAGTTTGGGAAAATTAACCTGTTTTGGTGCCGTCGCAGTGTTTCTTTGATTTGTATTTCGCAATCCACGTTATTTACTGTTCCTCTACAGGAGGACAACATTCAACAGTTTTAAAATCACACAACTTTGGTTTTGTGGCTTTTAATTTTTAGAAGTCCGACATTTTTTATTTTTGACACTGAAGCAATGTTTTAACTTATTGAAAAACCCCATTGAAACAGATTTATGTACTTATTTTTGGTTTTACTGCAAAGATACAGACTCGCATTCAGATAAACACTGCTGTAAAAAAGTGAACAATGTATCCATGAGATTTCGGATAAAGCCATGAACGCAGGATGTCATTATGTCAACGATCTGTCAACCCTACAGTGACAGTACCCCATCACTGCACGTTAACCCACATGATGTGGTAAATATGATTTTTATTTTTAAGTCTGTTCGATCCTTCGCTTTTGAGGGCTTTATAGAAATCCAGTTTTCAGTATCAGAATTATGGTAAATTAATTTACTAGTTTACCCATTTGCAAGTCCAGGAGAAGTCTTACTTCTGGTTATTTGTCGGCACATTTATTTCTACGGTTTAACCTATAAGAGCAGTGTAAATTTGACTTTGATAGGGAATTAGGCGCAAAATTTTTTTAACACGTCATTGATAAGTTTTCCCAGTGGGAAAAAGCAGCTCCATATTGAGCATCACCACTCTAATTTTGGTCTTTGTCTTAGCACCTCGGACAATGAAATTAGTGTAGTCACATCACGGATACCATAGGGGCGGTATTGTCGTTGCGCAAAGGAGGGACTTTTCAACCGAACCAAGGCTTTTCAACACTGCTTTTTGATGAGCAAGTAATTGTGATATTGCCAAGTCACCGAAGGTGAAATGAACGCGATTTCTCTTCTCATTGCCGTAAATGTGGTTGCAGCAAAGGTTTCCAGTATTGTAGTAATTTAAGAACAGTATTGTTTTCAGGAAGTCCTGACTATACTACTTTCTCCCTCAGTTCTAACCACATATACTGCTTTAAACCACCACCTATGTGCGCTCCTTTTCCCGATTTTTTTTGGACGGGCATGTACCTTGTTGATGCTTATGTGGGTTGTCAGAGTGCAAAGTGAAGAAGTAGGGAAACCTCTAGCACCTGTTTTTTTCAAGATAAAAGACAACTGTGGTGCAACTTTTGTTCACTTTTCACAAATTTCTTCGATTGGGAGGAGAGTTGATTACACTGAACTTCCAACTTTTTTTTCTCCGGTGTGTCGAAATGGCGGTTGTAGTTTAATATTTTGTGGTGAATACAGTGGATTCATAGTCATCACCACGGGTTATGCACGACCGCTTTCAATGATTACTCAACCCCACAGACGCCCTGCTGTGCCTGTTGGCCCTAGCTCTATGTCCATCCCGATGAACCTTAATGCTGATCTTGAACCGTCCCAGTAGGTGTAAACAAATGCCGCTAATTCCCCATGTTAACACCCAATGACTCACGCCTTATGCCGTTCACCCATGCGACTTATAAATACGCGGCCACGGGCACGGCCACGGCTCTGCACATACCTCTTCAGCAGCCTAGTAAACGGTTAAGCCTTTGTCGACTTTAGTCTTCTCATTTACCTCTGGATGCCTGATTTAGGATCGGGCCACAACTGCACCAATAATTTACCAGTTTCTTAAACATGATTAAACTTGGGAAACAAATCAGTGGCTCCGTCAAAGCAAGTTTTTTTACCTCATCAGTAACTGGGACTTATTTATGAAGTCTGTTGATTCGCTTCGTGCTGGAGGCCTAACTCCCTGCAAAATACTGCCGGATAGCTTTCGGCGTTGCGCCTTTGAAATAAATGTGCTCCTAATATTGTTGGACACGACAGATTAAGGGAAACTCACTAGTAGAGCACAAAAGTAATTCCGTGCTCGAATATTGTTTGCAGCCTCAAAGATTTAAAATTATTTCGAACTCTCACTATCATCCTTGGACTTACTGTTCACACTCTAAGTGCATAAAGTGCAACGAAATCCCATTTCGAGTCCGATTCTGACTGCAGATACATGTTAGCCAATTGCTTTATTTTAGCAAACTGCTCGTTTCCTGTCATAAATAGCGTTCATTTAAAGTTTCCAAACCAAACTGTCACTGTCTGAGGTTCGACCTGACATTAGCACATTTTTAAAGAGAACTCTCTAGAACAAATCCCTGTTAATTTTTTTGAAATGCTCTCCCTAAAACCACGTCGTTGCAATGAAGAACAGCCTTTGTCATCAAAGCGGAAGGTATTTTCCAATTCGCATATCAAGACTATGTTTTGAAGGTATATTTGAATTTTGCTCAAATATAGGATGATTTTGAAGCAAGGCTGACTAAACTGTTAAATAAAAGGTCAAGGAAAAAACGAAAGTTGCGAAAGTATTGCTCGGTAATTGCTAATCCGTCGATGAAAAGACTTATAAATGTATTTTATAGGATTCGAGAATCCATTTTTGGGAAAACACCAGTGAAAATATTTCGGTTTTAGTATGGTTCTCTTGACAGGCCCGGCCAAGCGAGAATGATTGGGGCTGGTTATAGGGCTCATTTTCCAGCTAGGCATTTTATTTGCATCTTGTTCATGTGCATTGGGCAATCAATGCGGTTTCACGAACACATCTCACTTTAAGGATTACTAAAGGCAACAATTGGGCTTCGGAAGAGCCAGCGCTAAATTATCAATGATGCACGAAATGCCCTCGCAAGAGAAAACGTATACAGCCAGCGACGCGAACAGTCGCCATCGCGCGTTCGGTCGATCTAAACGTGGGTAAAAATAGCACAACGGCAGACGATAAGCGGTTGTTTTCCCTTCCGGGGTGTTTGCAAAATCTGCGCATGGTAAACCCAGCAATTCCACAGAAACAAAAAATTCTTACTCAGTCTCCTGCTAAATTACTTCTGCTGATCGTGTATAGCTTCGTCCCCTTTCAAGAACAACTGGTCCGTCTGTAGTGCGGGAGAGTGGTAACAGTGGTAAAACGTGAGGGGAACATTCAGGTGGAGTAGTTGCCAACTCCGGATTCCTCTTGTCCACAAGTCTTCCACTCTAACGAGCTCAAGCCTGGTCACTACATGACATGCACCATCGTACATTCCTTCACTTGTCAAAATCCACTTTGTCAGCCTCCAGTTTCATACCTTTAATAAGGGTGTCTGTGAAAGGAATTTACGTGGTACACATTATTCTGACATCATTAATTCTCCGTATCTGATGTTCATCGAATATGCCTCGAAATTTTATGACATCGTAGTGACGTATTTTACCGTAGAGATTTATGGGCGTCGTTTTTCACCAAAATTATCCTCTATAAGTGGCTGAACACTTTAGTAGAGTCTTGAGAGTTGATTAAATAATGCCCGTCCTAAGTTCACAGTTCGCATCGTTATCTAAGGGTTAACACGAAAAATACACTACTGGTTCTCCTACTTGTTTTCTTTGACCAGAATTAAATGTCTTGAAGCCAAAATCGAAGTATTGTAAATTCAGATAACTTTGCTCCTCGTGGTAAGATAAGCTGAGCAATACGACAAGCATCAAGAGGATGGTGCTCGCAAGCAGACGCAGAATTGGACTATGGTCATCCATATGGTGCTTAGGAGGGGGGGACAGAAACGAAATTCGAAAAAAAAAATGAGTTACTTTGCAGTTATTGCTCCTGGCTAAACCAAAACTAGTATAAAGCACAGGACACTACCAAAAAACCGAATTCCGGGGCAGGCTTTCTCCCAATGCCAAGACTTTCAGCTGCAATCTGGATGGAACATGTGTACGGTAGCCTTGACTGTTTTAAAATTGCTGCTTAGGATTGGTGAATATTCGTAATTAAGGCTTCATGCTCCAAATCCATTAAAAATTGTTCAAATGTTTACAATAAAATGCGTACCAATTTCGAGACAATTCAGTGTGCGAGAGACGACTCCAGCATGTAGAACCGAGCGTGCACGTAGACTTTGCCAAGGCAACCACCCTCCCACCGGTAGTCACTTAATGTGAAACAGGGATTAAGAATTTTCTGCTGAATTCCTAATGTGTGGGCACAACTCGAGAGAATGACGGGCATGCATAGTTTCAAGACGCCGGCACAACTGAGTTGCACAGTGTTTGGTCATTGACATTCACACAGTGGTTCGCCTCTGATCCACTGTTAGCCGACCTGCTGCTGTCCGCAGTACATACACCGTCGACGTTTCAATGGATGTGATTATTTCAACTTGGAAAAATTAAAGATTGGGTGGGTGTTCTAAGTTTAAGTGTCCGGATTTCGTAATTTTTGCAATCATTTCCGCCTGTGTTGCATATCATACCTGCAAGCTGGCAGTCATGCATACTTTTCGTGAGATGTTACGCAGAAGCCATTTATCACTACACCGCAGAGCGTGGGCTTAGGGCTGCTTTATTGGACTGATAGAAATTCGGCAAAGCCAGATTATATCTATGCTTCGAAAAGTAAGAGGACGCAGACAATTGCAATGACGCTACACAGGAAACTAAATTTAAACCCGTTGAAATAAATTTGCGCTGATGATCAGATCGCTGCCGATTGTGACTTTTTGACGCTAATGTGCATTTCGAATGATCCAGCTGTTAGGAAAACAAATGCCTACAATTCGCTGACTAAAGCAAATCAGCAAAGAGCTTTGGTTGCATTACAGAAAGGTAAGAAGAGAAAGATGCCTGCTGACGAAAACATATGCTTCGGTATTGCAGCAATTCTCTCAAAGTGAAATTGTGTCCGACTTACCTCTTCACGTTCGTTTCTCGGAGACGATCGGTAACTTTGAGTTGAGTCTTGGTTTGGTGGCATTTCTCGTGAAAAAGACCAATTTAGGGTATTGGCGTGGGCTCGCAAAAGAAAATAGTCTACTCACAAAGTATCACAACGTACTTTGCTCAATGCTGCTGCCAACGATACTTTTAACACAAATATTGGTTCACTGATGGAGAAATACGACTCTTCTATTAAGAGCGCGTGGCAATTGTTCGTCAATATCGGGAAAGGTGGACTCATTAGGGAAGAATAGAGTAGAGAATTTGACTTAAAATACTCAATTTATGCGGCGAATCTTACTAATGGTTGAAAGGGTCATCCGTAGAGCATAAATTATGTAACCTCCAAAAAGCCATTCACTAGCCCAATTTGCAACAAGCCCAAATGGTTTATCTTAGCTCAAGTTACGCGTATACAAATAGGTACAATATGGTTACCTGTATTGTTGTTGGCTGTTTCGGTGGCATTTCTTTATCGGAGAATACAGCCTAGGAATCTGCTTTAGAATTACTGAAACGACGTCATTAATATTCCTTACAGTGATTCTCAGTCTATCACATCTTTCGGATGCCCAAGCACTTATAAATGGCTTCTGTCAAACAGTATGCTAACCTAGTTTACAAGTACCTGTGCCACGATAACCGCCATCATCCCGAGATGCTAACATCACGAACATGCAGGTGCTCATCACGCCGGTGACTTAGGCTTTAGGTCCTCTTAGATGAGCGTGACTCACCAACTATACCGAACACCTAAATTGTGGTCACTTTTAACCCACAACTGCTTTACTTTGTTCTGCTGTGGGCTAGGCCCAGGTTGACCACGTGCAGACGGCCGCGACACAACGAGTCTGGCGTCCGGTAGCCACGGCACACCAAGGTCAGTGGCATGGGGAGCAGTCCGTAATACTACAGTGGATTCAGAAGAAGGAGAGGGCTAAAACAGCAATATGTAATTTGTTCGTTACTGTTTAATTAACCGGGTATTTAGGCGAAAAGCACAACGACCGGCGAATATACTAATTAGACACGTCTTGCATCGATATAGACAATTGGTAGCTCGATAAAAAAAACTGCTGCACCCAAATAAGCCAATAACAATGCGGTCACTGGCATCGCGGACGTCTCGGGGTGCATCAACCGTGATGAGCCACAGTAACACGTCAAGAAGGCAAATAAATAGAGGAAATGGAGATTTCAAAGGCAATCTTTGTTATGATTGTTAATACAGAGCCCAAGTAAAGTGTACAAGGAAAAAGTAATACACAAAACAACGTGGTCATAGTCGAAAGTGTGGTAACTGTTGTGCACAAAATAGACTACCAAAATTGTGACGATAAGGGCGACGAAAGAAGTGTGCTTTGGGATTCTGATTCTTTTAGAGAAGATTGGCTGGAGAATGTCGATCGAGGGGACGCAGAAGAACAACTGGCGGCAGCTGAGGCGTCGACCAGGAAACCATCAGTTACTGCCTGCACCTGATCTGTGAATTCGCGACGAATTGTCTCCACCTTCTCCTCAAAATCCAAGCGCGAAATGTCCTCTGCCATTAACAGCGCCTGCAGCTGGCTAGTGCCTTGACCAGTAGTCATACGAATACGAAATAATTGTTCTAGATGCTGTCGTAAGGCAAAAAATTACATGTTAGTCTTTCGGCTGAGCCTTAATATGACCAAATAAGCACTCATAAGAGGTTTCACTAAAATTTACTATTAGTCCGCCCAAGAAGGGAGCTTGAGTTCTACCTTATGCCAGTGCCAAATAGGTGATTTTTCATGCCTTTTACAGTTACCCTAAGATCCAAACTACAGACTCATATGAAAGTTGAAACCGTTGATAAAATCCAGCATGCGAAATTGACAGATTATTTGCATTCACCTCTTTATTAGTAGCTTCTGATTGAATGAAACCCCATAAAGCAAATAAATCTATGAAGTCAAAGTTTTCATTTACGATTTCATTTTGTTCCCAAAAAGCGAAAACACTCGATTCCTTTTCTCTACTTATTTGAAGATCCGAAACAATGTTTCCTAAGATATTTTAACTGAAAAGGAAAATTATGAGAATTTCCACATAACAGCTACGCGGAGTTATTCTAGCAGACATAAACGCACAACACTTTGGCACTAATCATCGCCAATGTCAACGGGCGAATTCGTCCACTAAGTCAGTTAAAGGGACGTTTTAATATTGTAAAGTATTGCGCAAATATCTTCTAAAAAGGTTTAAGAATAGGATTTGATAGAAAAAATGAGTAAGTCAACTAACAATTGAGATACCACAAGAAGTGTATTAAAGGGACGCTTTCAATCCAGACCTATTTTGTGACCTTTGAAAGCATCCACAGTGGATACCAAGGACAACTTTTGTAACAACTACACAAGACCTTAAAGTCCGGGAAAAAACATTATAGCCTGAGTAGCCAGCATACTTGAAGACTAGAGACGAGGAAGGTTTGAAAAGAACCCTACCATGCGTTCTGCCTCCAGTTTACGAGCAGCATTTGCATATTCCTGAGCTAGGTTGCGATACCCTTTAGACTTGATGGCTAGACATCGCTGTTTTACTTTGTTGTTAGCACGACAACGTTGTACAGCTTTGTTATTTCTTTCACGACACACCCGGTACTCATTCGACCGTCGTCTTTCTTCCGGAACAGGGCGATACACACGACGAGCAGATAGATGACCTCCAGTTGGAGCGTTAATCTTTGAAGATGGGGACGGCCGTGGCGTATCAAATAGCCCCGGATCCGCAACATTCGACTGTGAACCCACATCCATTAATACTGAAAAAGATGCGTGGTTTTCATTTAAATATTTCATAAACAAAATAGTGAAGGTTCTATTAAAAACCCGCTGACTGCATACTACCACTGGGATATAAAATTTACTGAATGAAACTGTTGCGTCGGAAATTCATCCTTACTTTTACTTTGGATACCAGATACTGATCTGTTAGTGTCAAAATATTGCACGTTGTGACAAGCTACTAGAAAAAAATAAAAACAGTGTGAGGAGGAAGTTCTGTACCCATTTTAACTCGAAGTAGTACGGCAATTAGACAAAACTAGCACAAACAAAAAACTCAAAAAAAAACCTTGACGGCAAAAAGGCTAAGACAATTGATCGCAACTTGCAGCACTAGTAATTGAAGCAGTTGACCAAAAAACACTAGTAAATAGGAGGAAGAAAACGTCAGTCACATAGGTGCTTATGCATACGAGAGTCCAAAAGAAAACTTAGCAACTTATACCCGTACCTTCCCTTTCACTTTTTAAGGTATTGATAATTTTTGAGGACAATCAACATTTAAGATTCAACAACAGAACCATGAGCGATGAGGCCGCTAAAGTTGGTGGCACCCCAACCCATCAAAATCTGAAAGTTTAATTCGACTATGGAGTACGACACTCCAGATTTAGCACAATACATAACTTTTTACCAAAACATTATTTCATGTATACTTATTAAAAAATCCTGGGAATAAATAGGTTTTATGGCTGAAATAAACGTCCTGAAGACATCCCTTAAAGTCCTAAATAACGGAAAACCACAAAACTGATTGAGTTCTAAGATAATAAGTTGCCACAAACAATGGCAGAAACCGATGACAGAAGGAGAGATGCAAGATCAGATAGTACTTGGAACAGGAAATTACCCAAAAATGAACAAAAAGACACATATTACCCTGGGATTTATGAATATTAAAAAAGTTGGGGAAGACGTAGCTCAAACGGGCCTTTGCGAGGTCGAAAACAACCGAAGCAGTGGTGTGCGCCACAGTTCTTGTGTACATGTTTTAAGAACCGTATATCACAATTTTGCCGACATAAACTGCGTCGGCAGCGAATTGCACAAACCTAAAGCATATATTTTCACATTCATAGGGGCAAAAGCAGTAAGACAACATAGTCAAGAATTAAATTAGGTGAACACATCACGTAAGGCTGAACCATGTATTTAGATCATACGAGTATACAAAGGTCCACGACTTTCGAGACTTCTAATATAAACTAATATTTATGAAAATCTGGATTAAGACGATGAGTGTTGAACCAGGCACAAGTCGTATCCGCACCTCCAAATCACCACGACGCAGGCTAGTTGCGTCGTCATAAGTTAAAGTCATGTTTGGAAGCCACAGCCCAATTCTTCTGATACGGGATCAAACTATCACTGAAATTTGAAATAGCAGAAACGAATAAAGGATGCAACACCGAACCACGGAAAGCGCTGAGACAACAGAACGGGAATTTAAAAGGAGTATTTACCGCTAGATTGTCCATCACGGATAGCCATACGGACATTACTCTCAGTCACAGCACACAAAAATGGGAATAACCGTAACCTCTAATATTCCAAACTACCGAGTTAAGTGTGTGAAGGTGAGTGAGGAGAGGCATGGGAGGAGAGACAATTGGTGTATTTAAGGCGAATGAGTAGTGAGATAAGCAAACCGGAAAACCGGAAAGGAATTGAAGAACCATTGAAGTGACAATTGGCGAGGGAATACGAAAGAAAGCGAAGCTACGAAAACTACAACATGACAGATGACAGACCATGACAAAGCACCTAACATATAGAGGAAACAATCTTAAATTACAGTTGGGTGAAACATACCGCGGCGGGCTGTCATGTTACTTTTAGCGTGTGTGGTGTGGTGTAGTGTGGCGTCGGATTAGGGCGCAGACATATGGGACCACCTGGCCTCAGCCAATCCTGTGTCTCTCTGCAATCCAATGGCAT